AAATACAGTTAAATTACTATTACCAAGTAAAGTTTCCTATTTTGAATCTTACCGGAATTTTGCAACCCTAACTACAATGTCTCTTTTCAGAAATCATGACCTACTTACACAAGATAATCGGAAGACCTTGTGTACATAAGAGGAAAAATGTCTATTTTTATTTTGTGGTTAACTGTGCTTCAAGGTTTCTACAAAACAATTTTAATTAATGGGACCTGTAGGTAACCAGAAAATCTGTATTCATCCAGATTAAGTGGTATTTTTTCAGTTTTATGGAGAATTGTCATGTCTTTCACTGGGGGGCCAAGGACGGCAGTCTGAAGCACTCTGCTTGACTTCGGTCCTCTGGGTGACGGTATTGATCCTAGTTGCTGAATTAGCATTTCATATCACTTTCCCTCATTTAAAATGGTGATTGCTGATATCTCACCCGGGACAAATTGCTGGCCGGGGAATTACAGCTTAGGGTGATGCCAATCAGCCACATAGAGTTAATGAGCTTATCATCCCAAAGTAAATAGCCGTGTGTGTGTGTGCTTGTGTGTTGATTGCTTTAGAACCCATACCTCCTGTGGAAGTGTCACGGTTAGTAATCAGAGGATAAACTGGAGGAGAATAACAAATGAAAGTGTCATCGTTAGATGTCACAGTGTCGACTTGAAATGATGATCATCCTTGGCTGTATGTCATACTGTAAGAGGACTGGATTCATCAGCTGGGTCCTCATCTAGAATAGTAATAACTCAGAATGCAGTTATTGATGTCTGTCTACCATATCAAACTGAATCAATTTACCAAGCACCCCCACTGATCGATTGGCCCATCTAAATTCTGACTGAGAATGGTAGTGATAAGAGCTTCATGAATGGTATGATTAGTAACGTTTTACCAATAAAAGGTTCTGGGGGGGCTAATGTTAATGGTTCATATTTATTATACATGCAATTCCATTCTCTAAATAGACCATGTTGGGGTGCACAGAGGCATAATATAACAAAAGATTTTCAAAGCCAAGAGTCGAACTGCATTTGAAGTCATGCACACTCGCAGACGTGTTCTTTACCTTCGGAAGGGGTCATTGGAGTTTGCCCTCCTGGGGGGTATTCGAGAAAGGAGGTTTAACAAACTCTGAGTCTATCCCTGAAGTCCGAGTTGACTTACTCTGAGACGGGAAACTCTGAGTATCCGGTTCCAGAACAGCTGATCTGCGTTAGTTCAATCAACTTGGAGTATGTTCACCTTGAGTTGAGCGCGTGCATGACGATTATAAAAAGCCATCATCAATGGAGCCCCGATAGCATGAGTCACCGAGACAACAGTAAATAAAAGAGCAAGCTATTTCACTGCGATAGAGTTGGAGGTCCTTCTGCAGGCCTACGGTGAGTATGAGCATGTATTTCACCGCAAATGCAATAAAGCTGCAGCAGCGAAGGAGAAAGAGACTGCGTGGGTAAAAATCGCTGCAAATCAACGTGTAAGTTTGAATGTACTGTTCCATTGACATAACATTTAACCGTAAGATCGTGGCAGCCTATAGTTCTGAATATAAGTAGGAATGAAATCTGATTTTTAGGTGCAATCCAACAGGGGAAAAAAGGACCTGGAAGCATCTAAAAATGAAATTTAAAAACATAGTTCAAAAAGGTATGGCATATATTGCTAGGCTATGATTGCACCTCACTTTGATTTTAATTCATTTTTTTTAATTGACTTAGGCTATTAAACTAAGTAAATATTAATTCAGTGGCTACTTGAAATATTAAATTAAACCCCTAATAATAAAATGTTGTTTTTACATGTCTTTTCACTTAATACCCCACTTAGGTATAAAATAAAAACCAATATATCTTCAGACTCTACCTCGACTAAAGACTAACAAATTGTAGCACTTAAATTGTACTTGTAACGTCACTCATCTATAGCAAATTGTAAATTGGCTTATTTGAGGAAATTGCACTTTCTTGTTTCTTGTTCTCCTGAGTTTGTACCCTATGGTTGAATGCACTTATTGTACGTCGCTTTGGATAAAAGCGTCCGCTAAATGACATGTAATGTAATGTAATATATACGCTATCGTTCAAAAGTTTGGGGTCACCCAGACAATTTTGTGTTTTCCATGAAAAGTCACTTGTTTATTAAATGAGTTGGAAAAATGAATTGAAAATATAGTCACGATATTGACGAGATTAGAAATAATGATTTTTATTTGAAATATTCATTTTCTTCAAACTTTCTTTTTTGCTTTTGTGTGAAAGGATTTTCTATTCATAGTCCCCTTCATCGTGTGCAGGCGCAGTAATAGGAATATGTGTCCCATTTATGCATCCTATCACATTTGGAAGCCCTGCAAAATGACAGCTAATTAAGCTTCTGAGGTCGCAGCAGAATGTAGATCATAATTCAAAAATATATAATATGTGATTTCTACATCAGTCACCTGCAATCCTGTGGAATTCCTCTTTGATGGTTCTAAGAAGAGGTTTGTGTCTGGGGAAACACGCGTTTCAGTGCAAGGTGAACTTTCTTCACACCTCTACAAAACTGGTGCCTTGCCAAAGTGCTCTGCATCCCTGATGTTATAAAGAAAACTACCATTTGCAAAAAAACGTAGCGCGATGCACAACATTTGCTCTGATGTGAGTGCACGTCCGCGGTGTGTGAGGTTGGTGATATGCGGCCGGAGAATGTTATTGAGATAAATGATACCTTGTGAGGAAAAGCGGTAGCGTTCTAACAGAAATTCCTCTGGAAATGATAAAACATCTAATCTGGGTCGGTAAGACTCTCTCGCGACGTAAAGCATTTCGAATCACGACGGATTCGATGTTAATTGGATTCGGTAGGAATGGGCAATCCATGTCTACCAGCTTTCTTCATGTGGGAGGAGACAGGTAGAAACTCTGGGTTTCTTATAGTAAACCTGCCAGGGAGCAGGTTATGTTCACAGAGTCTGTTACCATGGTGATTGACTCAGAGTTTCAGTTACCTCTCTATCTGGAACGGATAACTCAGAGTTTCCCTGATCTCAGGGTTAACTTACTCTGAGTTTTCATATAACCCGCTTTCTGGAATACCCCCCTGGTCTACATGAGTCTGCTTCCCATGAACATCAATATATCAACACAGATTTATAACAAATACCACAAGTCACGTCACGCATGTGTGGTCATCCGCAGGAGATGACCGAAACTAATGCTAATTAGTGATCGATTTACTCTGGTGCTCCATTATGTATATACCATTTCTTATTTTAAATGAAAACGAAACAAAAGCGTGATAATAAAATACTTAACAGTCAAGAACTGTATTAAAATGATTACATTTTTGCAGATGGGAAAATAGTTTTACTTGTAAATGAAGTAGTCCATCTTGTCCATCTTATCGTATCAAAGATGGACTACTTTAGTAGTTCAGGTCTGAAGTGAAAATTAAAAGAACAATGTTTACAGATCTCAGTGCAAAAATTAGGCTGTGAACAAAAGGCTTGTGTTATGAGCATCTCACAGTCTAATTGTGGTAACATCTCTACGGCACTGAGGGGAGATGCGATAGCGAACCACGTCCCTGGCTGTGATTTCACCGCTCCACTATTTATATCTACAGTCACTCCGTTTCAGTCAGCAAAGAGTCGCTCTGGGCAAGCTTCATCGCAATATCCTGCTACTTCTTCAAGTCTCTTTTTGCTGTGCTGATTTATAGGATTGGGACGTATCAGGCGCACATGCGTTTCTAGTAGCATTTCCTCTGCAATTGTGATCATAATGGCCCTAAATAAAAACACTCAATTGTATCGCTCTATCATATTTACACAGATAAGGTTTAAACTTTATGTTCCTTCCTACTGTGTTCCCCGCTCAGTCTGGGGCAATTCCCTAAATCATGCGACTTGGTGCAGATCACACTCAGTGGCACTCAAAGCCCCCATTTTGCTTTCCCGTCCCCCAATTAGACAAATCCTGAAATCCATAAACCCGATAGATCGTCCGAGTTACAGGGTTCTCTCGTTCACCCTGACATTTCACACTAACAAGACAAACTCTGTTGACTTGGAGCTTCCAATTATTCTGAGAAATATGGAAGGGTTGGTAACAATGCAATGAACAGTTGCTGTTTTTTGTCAGTAATTTGCAGCTGCTCGTCTGTGTGTGTGACACACTGGAGAATGGAGATGTTATGATATACAGAGGATTTTATTTTATAAAAACTTGTATTATTCCGCATGTGGATGAGCAGTATTTATAGACCTGTCCTGACAACTTGCATGTCATGCAAATCTGTTAATTAGTCACGGTAAGTGTCACTAAGCCTGTGGCTGTGTAGAATAGGAATTCATGGATAAAAACATCCAATTAAGTTCCACCATGGGACAATTAGCATCCAGTGTTGCTAATTCACCCAGACAAAATTAAAAGTTAGGATATCTATTTATATTTAATATGGCGCTCCATTCACACGTGTGTGTGTGTGTGTGTGTATTGAAAGAAGTAAAGAAGTTAATTATCACATAGAAATATTTGCAGTGATTTAACCACACCTGAGGAATAACGTTAAACAAAACGTTGCATATAAAGAAACGTAAATGCATAATTGATTTAAAATCATTCAAAATATTTAGCCTGGTCACATGTTTAAATTTTCACAGCAAAGGGATAAATCATCTGATTTCAATGAGCTGAGGGCTTGATTCAGTCATCTTCTACTCTGAGTCATGGGGGGCAACAGTACTAGTACCCACCACACCACTGTGTTGCCCCTGGTTGGAGAGTTTAATAATAGAAATCGGCTGGTTCAGTCATGACTTCATTTCCCAGGAGGCATTGCGCTGGGACGGCAAAACACTATCCCGGAGACTACGGAGGCTGAATTTAAATTATTAAATAGTATTATTCTTTTTTAAGTTTAACTAACCTGTTCACATTTCCGTTCGCCCTGATAGCGAATCATTACAAAAAATAAGCAGGGTTGGTTATGGTAGACATCAAATAACACCGGGTTACCTTTTAGTCGCCCTGTGTTGTCCTTCCTCTCTTCAACGCGGAACTAAACTCAGGAGTGAAACATGTCTGCTTCTGGTAGCGCTTACAAACCCGTGAGCCATGTCATTTTCGATATGGACGGACTCTTATTAGGTGTTGAAACACAGCTGTGTGTCATATGTTGTGTTGGTTGTTGTTTCATCTGCACTAAAGCTACTTAGACGCAGACTCGTTCATTGACGAAGAATCGCGCAGTGAACACGCACGCCGGACTGCGTCGTTAAAAAACATTCTGTTACAATTAGTAATACATAACCTCCCCAGAGCAATTTTTAAATTGAAATCTCCTTTGAATTGCCTTTTCATAACCTAATGGGTGAATTCGGCGATTATATAATACATCTTGTGCTACGAGTGTTAGATGAGACAACCTCCCAAACTTTTACATTGACTTTGTGAAATTACCCAATGTTGAATGCCCTTGTTATACTACCAAATCCTTCTTTTTTTAATAGGCTGTAGTTTTTAAAACCGCAAATGATTGTGGCAGTGTCTCCAAATGAATATACAGTGTCCCTGAACGCACCATTCATATGCAATCTTAATTAAAAGGTAATCTTTTCCTTCTCTCGTATGTCCCCCTCTTCAGACACAGAGCGTCTTTACACCGTGTCCTTCCAGGAAATCTGCGACCGCTTCGGGAAGGAGTACACGTGGGACGTGAAGGCATCGGTGATGGGGAGAAAGGCCCTGGACGCTGCCCGAAGGATCCGGGACGCCCTGGAGCTCCCCATGACAGCCGAGGAGCTCATGGCCGAGAGCCGACTAATCCAAGACAGGATCTTTCCCTCCGCCCAACTCATGCCAGGTCCGTCCTGTTCACCGTGTGGATGATAATCCAATACATATCAAACAGATCTGTCATCTTTCTTCCTACTAGTGCTTCTATTTCATGCAACCCAGTGTGATATTCAGCAGGCCTCATATAAGTGCACAATAGCGCACGTCAAAGCTGAGGTTTCCTTAAGACATACAGCCGTTCGTGCGCTTTCATGATGGAGCCAGACAGCTTTGAAAAACAAATGCAAAAACAACCAAATGGTTTATATCGAAAAAAAAGTTTCCATTTCATGTTGAGAGCCTTATCATATTTTATCTGAGTGAGTTCATTTTTTAAATTCATAAATTATTGCGCTACTTTATCTGTTCTATTATGAGCACTAGAAAACGGTTTAGAAATAGAAGCACATCTAATGAGTGTCACAAAAAAGATTGTCCACCATATTGAGCGTGTTATTGTCAATGATATCGAAAGAAACTAGCATGAATGAAGTGATCTGGATGTTAGTGTTGCCAGTTTCTTAGGTTTCAGCTATCAATTAACAAGATAAGACAAAAACGTTGTGTACATGTGGGGAGATATTAGCTTGTCCTCATAAATTTCTGCCACCACGAGTCCAATCGCTCTCCAACACCTGTAGTGTAAGTATACGTGTGTTTCTAGTAATAAATCGCACTTATGATCGATGGACGGAGCTTATCAAGCCTTTGTAACACATTTAGTCTCAATATGCACACATGATGATGCTCCACATGGAGCAGCACTGGGTGCTGGTTGAAAACAAGTGTTCCCCCGACAGGGAAGTGTTCCTTTTATTACATTACATTCTTGCTTGAAGCTGTAATTAGAAATGGTCCCCTAAAGGTTTTCAGATTAATTTTGAGAGGGTACCTGGGATCTCTGAATGTGTTGACTGTTGTTTATTTCTCATTTCCTTATTGTTTTGGTTTTTCTAAGTGTCTTTAGAGAAGTTTTTCTTGTTGCTTTGTTTTTATGTCTGTTAAAATGCTTCAATTAATAAAAAAAGTGAAAAAGGAAAAAAAAAACATTGAGTCCCCTCTTGTTACTTTATGTACCACCAGGTGTGGAGAAACTGGTGTGCCATCTCCAGAAGCATGGCATCCCCATCGCCGTGGCAACCAGCTCCGCCGGCGCCACCTTCCAGCTGAAGACGAGCCGGCACCAGTTTTTCGCTCGATTCAACCACATTGTTCTGGGCGATGACCCTGAAGTGAAGAACAGCAAACCTCAACCCGACTCCTTCCTGGTCTGCGCCAGCAGATTCAACCCTCCGGCTTCTCCAGCCAAGGTACGTCCTCCGGATTACCCATCTTCCCCAGTTTTTAGTTGAGTGAATCCATTTTGCCGCCCTTTGTTTGGAGAGTACTGCTATTTGAATGGTTGTGGAGGTAACCCCGTGCAGATTTGTTGGAGGCAGTTCAAAGTGAGAAGATGTTTCCTCTGCGAACCTTGAGGACAATGTGATCGCACATTGTGCTCTTAGTGGTCGACATCCGTGGACGGCCGGATACCGCCAGGGGAAAAGTCCTGTGTGTCTTGATGTTAGCCTTGTTCGCTATCGAGCAGTGTTCAACGCTTGTGATTGGTGTGGAGAACGAGATGTGACTGCACCAGAGTGGATGCTGAGTAGAGAATAAACTCAAAGATGAATCTCTTTAAGTTTCTTTACTTCAGTATCCTAATAATGATAATGAATAATGAATAATGAAAGCCCTGTGGGAAAAGTGGGTGGTGTCGGCGCTACCATAATGATAATACATTTTATTTATACCGCACTCTTCATCAACAGATCTCAGAGTGCAACAGAGATGGCAAAACATATGTAAAACATAGTTAAAATAAAGTAAAGCTAGTAAAAACGTAAGATAATGTAAAAAAACGGCTTTCTGAAAAAGTAGGTTTAGGCTGTTCCATTTGCGTGGCGCTGCCGAGCAAGAGGCCCGGTCGTGCATAGTGCGCAGCTTGGTGTTGTGCACCCAGAGGAGCGAGCTGCTCGCAGATCTGAGGGTGCGGGTGGAGGTTTTGGGAGTGAGTAGTTCTTGTAGAAAGGGAGGTGCATGTCTATTTATGAGTAGTATAATTTTGTAGTCAATCTGGGAAGAGACAGGGAGCCAGTGTAGTGAGTGTAGGATGGGTGTTATGTGTTCCTATTTCCGGACTCTCATCAGAATCCTGGCTTTGCTTGTATTGTAGTTTCAGGATATTCTGACTAGTGATTCCAGTTATACGTGAATTACAGTAGTCAAGTCTTGAGGAGATAAAGGCATGGAGAAGCCTCTCTGCATCTGACAGGGTACAAGTGCGGTGGAGTTTGGGGATGTTTTTGAGATGATAGAAGGAGGTTTTGCACAGGTATTTGATAATGTCATTAAAGCTCAGGAGAGGGTCAAACCTAACTCTCAGATTGGTAACTGTGGAGGAGAGGGATATGACTTGTATGGGGATATGACCGTCAAAGGTAAGCTGGATAATGGTGGATGACTGAACAAGCGGTGAGACATGACATGGAGGCAGAGGGGCTTGGGGCAGTCTTGATGTAGAACTGTGTGTCGTCAGCATAACAGTGAAAGGACATTCCATGTTTGCTGATGACACGGTAGAGGGGGAGCATGTAGGTGATAAAGAGGAAGGGGCCAAGGACTGATCCCTGCGGAACACCAGAGGAGACAGTCTGGACTTATATATATTCCCAGTGAGACGTATTCAGTTCTGCCAGAAAGGTAGGACAGAAACCACTTGAGTGCAGAGTCTGATAGTCCAATGGTGGCTTGTAGCCACTGTAGCAGGGTAGTGTGATCTACTGCATCAAATGCAACAGTCAGGTCCAGGAGGATGAGGAGTGAGGGTGATCCAGCGTCAGCTGTCATCAGCAGGTCATTCGTCACCCTGAGCAAAGCTGTTTCGGTGCTGAACAGAATACTGACTGAAATGTTTCAAACAAGTTCCTGTGCTTGAGATGGTCCTAAAGTTGAGAAGCAACTACCTTCTCTAGCACCTTGGACAGGAAAGAAAGGTTGGAGATAGGTCTATAGTTGGCTAGAACCTCCGGGTCCAAGGTGGGCTTCTTGAGGAGGGGACTGATGATAGCAACCTTAAGAGCAGGTGGGACACAGCCGGAATGAAGGGAAAGGTTAACAACTCTGGTGATGAAGGGACTGAGAGTGGGTAGATGTGAGTTGATCAGAGCAGTGGGAATGGTGTCCAAGGTGCAGGTACAGGATGTCATTTTTCCAGGGATGTCCTCAACATGGCTCTCCTAAACCTCAGCGAGACGTAGAAGAGACTGCACACTGGCAGTGTCGTCGACGAAAACTAGACGAAAATGTAATTCGTTTTAGTCACATTAAATATCCATATTAAACTCCTTTTCTTCCCTTCTCAGGCCCAGGGACCCCCTGTGTTGTGTCTACAACTGCATAATAGTCTAGCTTGCAGTACTTGGTTGTCCATCAGATGTCCCTCCTAGGACAGGTCTATAGCCGGGGTCGGCAAACTTTTTGACTCGCGGGCCACAATGGGTTGTAAAAATTCGACTGAGGAGCCGGGCCAAGAACAAATGGTTGAAGTGTTTGTGTGAGCTGATATAAATGACATGTGAAAAATCATTACATGAAAGGATTTGGATTTTAACAAATAGCAAAGCATTTATTTGCAAGGCAATTTAACAAATTGGCAAAGGTGTAACAACTTCATGAGGACCAGGGATCTAAACAGAACACTTTGTTGTCTTTGTCTGTTTAATCGCAATGCTTTTCACGTGGCCACCGGAAACTTCATGCTCCTTTATTGTTTCCACTGTCCCAACAAAAGAGACCCCTTAACGTCCTACAATCGTTGCAATACATTATTTTCTTGGCTTCAGAACCTGCAATGAGTTGATTATGTTAGACGTGTTTGGAGAAGCATGTAACGGACAGTGTCATCCAGCCGAGGAAACGCTGCATGCCGTCGCCAGAGAACAGAGCAGAAAGGTCCGCGTGGATCTCTGCTGGCTGATCTTTTCTCTGAAGCAGCGCGGCTTCAGTCTGCTAACAGTCAGCTAAACCAAGACAGCTGAGCTTAACTAAGGAAGCGCACATTCAAACTCGCCGAAGCGTAAAATAGTCGTCGCGGTCCGTAGGCTGTGCACAAGAACCACCGCTGCACAGATGTGATCGAGCATTCTGGGTTCGTGGATGACGTCATTATGACGCGTTAATATCCGCCGTACTTTGCCTGTCTGTTGTCTGTTGGGTGCGGGCGAATTTAGGGGGGAAAAGTATTGTGACTTCATCAAACACCAACATGTTCGTTAACGAAAAATTGTCATAGTTTTCGTCGACGAAATTAACACTGTCAGAGGACAGAGAGCGAATGTTGTTGGACTCATTCATGATTACACAACCCTCTCAGTGGATGCCCCGTCCCCTATGCCACGTCAATGTGAAAAAAGATCTCAAACTGGAAAATAAGATTTGAATCTACAAATATAACATTTTGCAAACAAAAAATTTAACACAAAAATACATGTATGTCAGGAACCAAAATAAATGTATTCAAAAACATTATAGAACTGATTCAAAACTATATGCAACCCGAAAATACCCACCTTAGTGTCTGCTGGTAGAATCATACTCAATCATTCTCTCACTAGGTAGCATGCAGAAAATACTGACTTAGTAGCTTGTTGGTAATTATTTGATGTCTAACCTGTGATGCATCCCATGTAACACAGTGACCGTATACAAAATACTGTAACATTTAGGAATAAAAAGCAAACAGAAAGCACAACAGTATTTGTCTTCTGTCTTTTTACATTATATTACATGTCATTTAGCTGACATCTAGGATTTTTAACCCATGGTTTTTACATTTTGTCTGTGGAGCAATTGGGGGTTTGGTGTTTTGCTGAGGGACATTTCAACATGGATCAGCCAGGGTTGGCGCACCGTCTACTCCATGCGCCACCATGCGCACCGTCTACTCCATGCCAGTGTGCGAATGGGTAAATTAAATAATTTACCCATTCGCACACTGATGACCTTTCACACACTGTGGTCACGGCAGCAATTGAAGGTTAAGTGACTTAACACATTGCTATGGACTAGTGGCGGATTGAACCCGACAATCGTCTTATAGGAGGACAACGTTCTCTCCACTGATCCTCAGCTCCTGTGGCCGGTGTGTGTATTAACAGTCTTATATTTCTAAGCTTTCCTGTTTTTTCAGTGGGATGGTTGAAGCAGTATAAAAGTACCATTCAGCATCACAGTTAGTTACAAATGAGTTCAGAGCTGAACTTCTCTATCGCATCCCACTTTTCTGCTGCGCCTTTATGAGGTTTAATCTTTTCATTTATCTCAATTGTTGATGTAATTCCTGTGGCTCGAGGGTGTTTCGGATTGGATGAAAATCACGGATGGCTGATCAAAACACGGGAAAGCACACTGGGGTAAATCTAAGCTAAGCTCATGGACTTTAGGAGACAAACTGGCACAGAAACTAATAGACACAGACGAAATACACAGGGGAACGAGATAAAGGTGGAAACCGGGGCTTGCGATCACACAGGAGGGCGGCACAGAGGAAGTGAGGTGTCTGAAATGAGAGATACGGTGAATGACAGAAAACACAACAAAAACAGACCGTGACCACAAAAATATCATCTGCAAAATTCCCGCTTATTTACACACTGCCAACACTCGCAGCCTCTTTTAAATAAACACTTAAAGTATAAATCCCCGGCTACCACAGCCACATCCTTAAGATACACCGACGATATTGATAAGTGAGTGACCTTTCGCCTGCCGCTCAGGTGCCTCCACACACCGATAGCAGACCGGATGAGACTTCCACGATGAAGGAACTAGGATTTGTTTGCGGGTTAAAGTGCGACCCGAGAAGCTGCATGTCATCACAGCCGGGAAAAGGTTGGTCGCCATGGAAACCAATAGATGCCTTGCTTATTCGGCTTTGACATGACATGCTCTCTGTGTAAATGTCCCCCTGATAGAACGGGTGCTGTTTCACAGGCCGTTCTTTTTCTTAAGCTCGGCCTTTTAAAGGTAGTAGCATTTCAAAATGTGCAGCGATACGATTATCTCTACACACACCACATATTCAGGTTGTTGCCCTTATTCCACACCTTTTCGGCTCCCAAGCTACTTTTCAATGGAAGTTTTGGCGATCTAACTCGGTCTGTGGAGTTCTTTAAGTGATTATCAGTAGTCCAGTCTCCCTTTTGGGGGCAGTACTAATCAGTATACCGCATCACATTTCCTGTTACTACCACCCAAAGAGTGAACAGAG